GTTTTGTGATATTGGTTTAGTGATCTGAGTAAAAATGGACAAACTATTAATGGAATCTAGACGACTAGTCAATTTAGGAAATTCAGAAATTTAAGGATTTAAATTCGTTTGAATAATATTTCGTTGTTGGAGTACCATTTGAAGGTGCAGGTAAGTGCACATGGTTTACGAGTAAATGTTACAAATACGGAATTGAATAATACACACTTTATGCTTACCCAGGGCAGGTGGTGGCGTTGGAAAAAAGTGGTTTCAGTGTTTAGTAAGAGCCAGGAAAGTCTTCAGATTCTTGAAGTTGAACCAAACTCCTCATTTTGATGTTTAAAACCTTTGAATTTATAAGTGGACTATTCAGAAGTAATACAAAGTATTACACTTATTCAGCAATATTATGGTTAAGTACGGATGTCAGTCTTTCGTTGATATTAAGTTATTATGGAAAATTAACGGTCCCTGTAACGCATTTTTTATGGTTTTGTATCATTAATCCGATAGGATGCTCAAATAAAGATTTATTAATATTGTAAGTTTCAAAAAGCATTATGTGTGAAGATATTACCGAATTTAAAATTAAATGTAAATAAAGGGAGTTAATTGCAAATTTATTTTCGAAAAAGTTTAAGCGAGTTCTTTCAATAAAAAATGAATGCAAATTTTAACGTTTATTAAAATGTATATAACATATACTATTATGTTTGAAAATTGCTTTTGAAGAATAATTATATACATTATATTGAATTTCACTTTATTGTATGTTATTTTTATCTTTTTTTCAATAAGCAGATCTTTGATTATCTCTAAGAATTAGATTTTAGAATAAAAATCGCATATCAAAATTCAATATCCCATTTGCGTTGGATTTCGAGCCAACCTTGAGATCGATATTAGAGTTAATAAAATGGTGAATATCGTCCAAGCATCGACAGCAAGGGGGATGGGCATCCTTGGCCGAATGGAAATAACCAAAAGTCAGGAGAGAGGCCAGTACTATTAGTGGGATGTAGCAAAATCGAAATTCTCTGCTTCTCTAAATAAGCTTTAACCAAGGCTGACCGGTGCGCACGAGCATAATCATTGAGTTATTTGATCCTGGACATTGGGTTCTTTGTAATGTGGTGATTACAATATGTTGCATCACCACACGTAATTATGTCATTTACGTTCTTGTGTGCAAGTGTAAATGTATTTATAATTGTAATGAAATTATTCAAAATTTCTTTCTTTGAAAGGAAAACAAAAGAGTATTATCAATTTTTTTAAAAACAGAAAAGAGATGCGTAACCAGTGGATATTAAAATGCTAAACCTTGTTCGTTCTGTACTACTCGTTGACATGTAAACAGCTTTGGGTTTGTTTGTTTTTTTTTTGTGAAAATGCAAAGTACTCTTCAGAAATTGATTGCATCAATAAAAATTGGTTTAAACGAATAATGTATCTAGATTTATCTTGACATCATGACATAAACATAGATATTTTAAAATAACACACTTTATATACCAAATAACTTGTAAAATGTTCTCAGTGGTACTTTATGGTACATTTGGAAAACTGGATACCGGCAATAAAAACCAAAATATTTCAATAAAGAGCACGTGGTCAATGTAAGTTACAAAATAATTTATGCATAAACATTATAGATATCTTTTACAGTACATGCAAATATATGAATAAGTGTGTAGAGTTTACGGATTGTTTAGTACTTTGATGCGCAAGCAAAGAAAACCTTAGTCAACAGTATTAGAGCCATAGTCATCAGTCCCCAACTATTACATATAACATCTTAATGCATACAGAATCAATAAATTTTTATCAATCCGTTTCATGAACTTGAATTTTGCTTACATCGATGCTAGAGATGTATATTTGTTGCTTACTCTTTCCAGTACCGTCCATGAAGAGTCTCAATCAAACCGGGTGTTCTTTTGGGAACCCGTTTTTTTTTTCAAACTTTTGGTACATTAAAGGGAGACACAGGCAAAATTTTCAAATTTTAGATTTTAATTTTCTATCCAATATTCTGTAAATGTCATCGAAATGAATAGACTAAGCAGTCTAGGGAACAAAATTTTTCCCCATATAAAGAAAAAAAATGTTAGTTTCCTAACCTGACAGGTTAGAGCATTTAGATTTAACGATAGTTATCACCGTGAACTATAAAAACGTAAAAGAACCTGTCAAATGAGCGACTTAGGCTTGTTTTAATCTTACAATATCCACAATATTTTTTTTTTTTTTTTTACTTCTAGGGATTGTAATTGTCAAATGACTTGTTTTAAAATTACTCCTTAGTTCTGTTTGCGTCGTCATTTCGTTTAACATATGTAGACTTATTTACGTTTTAAACTCACATTATAAAGTATCTATACAGAAAAAAAATCATGCTGGGACTTTTAATCACTTTTAAAAACTTCATTTTAGTGTAAGTGTAAGTATATTTGCCTGGGTATCCCTTTAATAAACCTGCCGTTTGAACTGAAAGAAACATATTCATTGCACTTCTAACATTAGAACGTGCTTGCTTTCACTCTTTTTCAAAGATATCCATTGGTGTATTTAAATATCAATATTGACTTTCATTGTTTACATTTTGGGTAAGTTTAGTGTTACAATGCCCTTCCCTCTATGCCAATTTAACTGCTAACTTATTGTCCAACCTGTTCCTCATAGGTGTTAGTTTTTGTAAAAGAACAATCACATAGCTGTGTGATAATCAATACTTGCCTACTATTTTTCTATGCAATCTTTATACTGACGTCATTAACCGTGATGACGTCTATAATAAATGAACAAATTGAAAGAAAAGATACGTTTATTTTTCAAATGCTTAAAAACAAATGAACATGTAAAGCATGAAACAACCCTTTTAAAAGATTTAATAAGACTTATAATAATGACAGACGAATTCCTACAGAAAACAATCTAGTTTTGGTCACAAAAAGGGGAGAAACACAAGTCAAATTCTTTTAAATGTCAAATGTATTTTGCATTGATAAATTAAAAGCTTATTTTAACTTTAAAATGTTAAGAATTTGACAATGAGAAGTGTATTAGTTCATATAAAACCCGACAGATGACACCACTCAGTGTGTCATATTTGATATAATGTGTCATAAGAATTACATATAACTATTAACAACAAATAATTTAAAACCAAAACTGCAATAAAAGTCTGTTCTGCATATTCAAATCATAATGCTTTAAGAACACTTAGCTACAAGAGCACAAAATGTAAAATCATATTTTAATTTTTAGAAATAAAAACAATAGTGACATGTTTTTCTGCATCTTTTATTTTCTACACAAAAAGTAACTACACAAATAAGGGTGAAACACACAATTTCTAGCATTAAACAGCTTATGAAACAACAAATTAATTTATAACTGAAATCGATAAAACTTCCAGAAAAAAAATTTTCCATTTTGATATAATTGACTCTTTAATTCACTCAATGTGTGAACATTGCATCAATTTTATTAAATTAATCCAAAATCTCATATTCAGAATTTCTATTTTTTAACCTTATAGACGCCGTTATTTAAAAACCCTATCAATTCTTAAAGTTTACTTAATATTATAAAAGCAAAAACTAAAACATATGAAGATAATAATATTCTCTTTTTAGTGTGTAAATTCAAAGAGATAACAAAATATATCATGATTAATTTTTTTAACTGAATAAATATACTTTATAAGTTTTGTTTCATTACGATAAACAACAGAAACATCTTGTGACGCCTGATGCATCACCTTTGTCGTCATCATCGCCTTCGTCGCCTCCATCAACACAACCATCATCATAACTTCGAAATGTAAATTAATATACCCTTATTTTGCTGTGAAGCTATTATAGAAATAATTTTTGAACCATTTGAAAAGGTTATATTTGAAGATGGTGATGATGATATTCAATAATGATAATGAAACTAAATGCAATAATAACAAAAATTCCGTGAGTACCCTTAAAATAGCCGCATGAACGAACTGTTAAATATTATTTGTAATCTCAATAACCTTATCTTATGGTATATATCAACAATATATATACTCTTGCCATATATATATTTGATAGGAAAACTTTATAAAATCAACTATTATTTCACAAGCCAAAACTTGTTCAGTATTTGAAGCATATTACATGATATAATTGTACACACACAAAAGACAATTCAATATTTTACATTTTGTAAATGCTTGCTGTAAGGACATATATATGTATGGACATTATTTAACAAGACTTTAGTCTAGTTAATTGTATTGAATAGTTAAAATTGAAATAATTGCTTAATTTGAAAATGTGAAATTTGATCAGCTGATACCAAAGTAAATGTCCTTCTTCACAATCCCAAGGGAAGATCTTGAAATGAAATATATTTTCACTACAAACTCATAATAATTATTGGATAAATAACAACATGTTTTTCTATATTTTTTTGATAAAAGTGTGACAAATTTTATTCAATATTTTAAGTACTAAATAATTTCTTGATTTATTTTTGTTCGTTTAATGAGTTTTCCCACATCCAACAGCATTACAATTTTTTCTCCACAAATAATTGCAAACTTCTCCACATGCAATTTTTTTAACACTGAACATTGAAATAGTGAATCTTATATATAAAGCTCATTAAGCTCAACTTCACAGCAAAGAAAAAAATAATATAATGTCACTTTAAGCACCGGTCTTGTGGGGTTGTTCAGATATTAGAATCATCATTAAAACCTGTTACCAATGCGATATACACTTCAACGTTTTAAAGCCGTAGCAAAATTACGGCATCTATCCTAGAGAGTAATTGTTGATTGGAAGGTGATACACATACATTCTCCTTCCGTCACATTCTCTTCTCTAACGCGTGGGAGTGCATCAGGGATAAAAATATCTGGTAAAAATATGTTTTAATCTTCGATAAAAAGTAAACATATAAATTTCAACACTGCAATGATTAACAAACATCGCACGCATTAAAGACTATCGAATTTAGAATTTAAATATCCATGTCTATCCAATATTAACAAGCTCGATGATAGATGTACACACATTCTCCCAGGACGTTTTCAGTACATACTCGCCATTTTCTTGCGCAAACAAAATGCGCGTTCTGTGTTCGTATAAATCCCTCATTTGATGATTCATCAACTCTCTATTAATTTCATCCTTTACCATTAATACGATAGGCTTTTCCAACAAGGTTGCTTGATCGAATTCATTTCGGCAATGAACACTTTGGCTGTAATGATCGGTTAAAAGAATCACCACTACAGATGATTTATGAAGAAACCTTGATATTTGCTCTGGAATTGGTTTGCCGATTTCAAAATGTTTGTCTCCTATACAAACAAGGTTATGGTCTTTCCCTACCTTTTGCTTAAGGTTCTCATTTATCTGATTGAAAATATATCTGTTGACAAAATCATCGTCGTTACTGCTGTATGAAAGAAACACGACAAATTTGTTATCGTCAGCCCCCTCTCTAATGAGAGCAATGCGATCCTCCATTTCAAGTTGATATTGTCGTTGTTGTTTGTATCTCCTCATTTTTAATATAATTGCTACCACTAACACTAATGCAAGAACAGATGCACTACATACTACGATTATGATTTTTGCTCTATTACATATCTCTTGTAATTCACCTATGGTGTTATCATTAATAAATACTTCCTTAGAGTCCTTGTTTTCACATTTAATGTCTGAATTATATGCGGAGTTCTTGAGCCAGTTAATAAAAGCAAGTGACCAACATTTAGAACACTGAATTGGATTACCTTGTAGTAGAAATTTAACATTATCAAATGTATTAAACGTGGCAGTATCAATGACTTGTAACCTATTTTTCCTGACATCTAATATCCTGAGTAGCTTCAAGTGTTTTACCTCAAATGACAGTTTAGTTATCAGATTATCTGATAAGTCTATTAATTCAAGTTTTAAATTATATGCGAAAATGTATTTTGGCAGTCCTGTTAATTCATTAAAAGACAAACGTATAGACTGTAGATTGGTTAGATTTTTGAAAATATTTTCGAACAAGTTGTAATCTTCTACCATCATGCTGCTTAGTTTGTTTCTAGAAAGATCAATGTCTGATAATAATCGAAAACTTGAAATGGCTTTCGGGTGGAGATAACGTACATTACATCCCGAGAAATCTAATTTCACAAAAGGACAGCCCGGTATATTGAGTTTTAGATCGATTCTCTCGAAACTGTTGTTACCAATTCTTAGGACTTCTAACTTAAATCTATTGGCTCCAAACACATTCATGGTTACGTTGTCAATGGAATACGTTATCCATTTTGGTAAAACACTTGTCAGATTTAAACTACGGATATTTTGCAGAAAACGTATTGACCTTATCCAATTAAAATTCATGGCTACATTTGCATTTTGTTCAACTATTTTTGATTGTCCGTTTATAGGCATCACTTTAGATGGAAATACTACATAACTGGTATCAATGGATTTGAGATTTGGACATGACCGTTCTGTTCGTAAAAACATCAAAATCATTTACCCTTGCACTTGATATATTGATATATTCCAAGTAAAAACAATGCTTAAAGAAAGATGTCGTATTGATATATTGAATTTGAGTAGAACTTATGTCAAGCATTCTTACTTTTTTGTCGGACACTATTTTGAAAAATCGCTCATCAAAAGTCATACCGGCTCGGTAACTATTAAGAAGAGCTAGGTTTAGACTCTGCAAGTTTGCTACATCATTATTGTCGTCAATCGCATTCAGAACCTCTTCCAAGTATAACCGCCGGCAACCAGTCAAATCTAAATGTTTTAGATTTTTTAGTCCAATTAATGAGTCAGATGCTAATGTTATATTCTCTGCTATTCCTATACGTAACATTTCCAAACTTTTTAATCCGAAGAAACAAAACGAATCGAAAATTCTAACTGTGTCATGTTCTACAAGCCAGTCAGTACTTGCAGAGATTTCCAGGTTTTTTATTTGTCCCCATTTATATGTTGAAAATAATCCTTTCCTCAATTTTCTATCCGATATGTTTCTGAGGTTAACTGACATGGTACCATCTGGAATATCCGCCGGTATATAATTGCAAGTTATTTCAGAATTTCTGCTAATGCAGTGCTCAGACTCTGATGCAAAAATACCATAAACATCAACATAGAAAATACTCAGATTGATATGAGATACTATCAAAATATAAACAAAGTACTTCCAAGGCACATCCATTTTTATATTTACAAATTTAATTTAGTTGATAAACTTGACATTAAGTTTTACATGTTATCGGTCATTAAAGTAAAGCAAGGTGAAAATTTGATGATATATTCCTATCCTGTCACGATAAAGTATATTACCCGAATGACTGCGAACATGTTATAAGTCAATTATGTATACCAAATCTGATTGATCAGGGTCCTTCAAATCAGAAAGATCGCTAATTGATCGTAATCAAAATTCCTTCCTTAGTCAGTCGTGCGAATGACTCGTGGAATAAAACTTTGGTATTATATTTTATTCTATATACACAATGTTTTCGAAAAAGAGCTACATACTGCTAATTGATTTAAGATAATTTTATTAATTGTTGCCGTTCATTTAATAATCAAGCAATTTTTTGAAATCACTAATGTGCTGTCTTTCCTTTCAAGTTGAAGGTTTACTTTAAAATAAAAAAGAATAGTTTATGCACTTGTGTTACATTTTAAATTGTTTATGAAACAGTAACTTATGAATGAAGCATTGGCAGTATCGGAATATTTTATTATATTCTCTTAATTATTCAATCACGTAAAATTACTGCTAGAGTTTTTCTTATATAAAACTGCATGTAGTATTACTATTAGAAAATACAAACATTGTGAATGTATGTACAAATTGTTTAGATTTTAAGCAACATCTAAAAATTAATAAGAACTTAATAATTTGTCGGATTATGTAAAGGATTGATATATTGTAAAGCAATCTTCTCTTTGTTTCATTTGAACATCTTGGTTATGAGAGATTAATGTAAAGTTGTCTTACATTTAGATCACATCATGTATTTGTAACAACTAATACTGATATATAAAATATTAAAATTGATCAATTAAATTAAATTCTAAAGGTAAGTATGTGCCGTTTAAACATCAATATATAATATAGAAACCTAAATTGCACATTGCCTTGAAATGTAAAGTATTATCTAAAATTTTGATAAATACACAAATAAGGTTCTGTAGGTAATGATATTTATATCTATTAGAAGAATTATCTAACATACTTAATACAAAAAAGTAACAATTTCTTCTTTGTGATTGGTCATTTTATAATTTCAACAGTGAAACGGGTATTTTTATATATATTAGTTACACTTCCGCATTTTTATCATTATATATGCCACGATTTTATATATAATCAATCTCTGTAGGAGGTTATGTATTATGAGGTTATTAAACATTATTGAATTCCATTCTGAATTTTATTTCACAAGTGCAAAGCTATAAACCTATATTTTATCGGACGTGGCGCTTGCCGAGTGTGATATAGGATTGGCAGCTGTGTACGAGACCAATAGATCAGTTATGTTCTCAAAAATGTATAATGACCTCTGTATTTTTCTTCTTTTTTTATATATTGACAAAAATTTGTAACTTCAAGAACAATGAGTAATTGGTGTGATTTTCTTCACCCATTACTCTATAGCTAGATGGAGTACGATATGAATTTGATATATTTGTTGAAAATATTCACAATATTTACAATTTGTGCGCATGAATTATCTATTCTGGTATTTTTCAAAAATTATTAACATTGAATCAGACACTGATTGTGTCGACTATTTCCTTTCAGAAAATGGGTGTAATTATTTTATTCAACAACGTTGCTGCATTTGTCTACAGACGCATAATTGAGTTTGGATTTTGCATTCTAAAGGAGGCTGTCACATGATAGCGGATGATAATAAAGTATCCGAACGTGCAAAATAACACACTTACTTGTAGACGCTGATATACGTTAGGCATATGTAATTTTTCGCCGTATACATGTAATGCATGGCGATATACGTCCATGAACGTGTCATTACGCATTGGCTAAAGACAAATGGTTTTAAGATGAAAATATATAAATATAATATATGCTTTTTAATGGATTGCCGCTTGATCTGTTGCCACAATTGTTCAGTTCATGTATGATTTTCGATGCGATGTGTCTGCACAGGTTTAACCTCGGGTTCTGTTCCCCTCGGGTGTAGCAAATAATATGTTCTGATGGATATTATATACTTTCTCATGATTTGTCTTAATGTATACATTGTCGCAACGAATCATTAATCTCAACGTATGTCTTAACTGTAACGTATTATTTGCATTCTTTTATTCTGCCTAAAAAATGAAAGATATTGCTCGAAAAGCTTGTAATAATATCAAAATGCATTTATAACGTGATGTTGAAAGAATGTTCTATTAGTAATGTCAATTCACATGGAATGCCCGCAGACACCGAAATATCACATTAAAACTCATATTATTTATTGCCAGATTGAAGTTTCTCTGAGGAACCTGCATCACTTTTTTTTCAAATTAAAATTTTAAAATTCATAACATTGAATATCTGAATCCATTTGATGCATATATTGTCTCTGTTTTAAATGTTTACATTTGTATTGCTTTTTTGCAATTTTTAAAGATTCTCACAGTCATAACATTACATACAAACATAGCAAGCTGTAAACTTTATCAATACTTTTTACTTCGTTCTCAAACGAAGAACCTTCTTTTAAGGTATAGTACGTCCGGTTGACGGTAATCCAAAAAAAATACTTACTTAAATAAATGAATTCCTACCATTGGAAATAAAGATAAAGATTTCGTAGTCACGGTAAAATGTTGTAATTATTGTTGTTCTCTGTGTACGTAATGAACAGCATCAATTCTCTTTATTTGCAGGACTATTAACAGTTATTGTTCTTAGGTCTAAGTATAATGTTTGAACAGTACCGCAAACGAAAGTTTAATGTATTTTGTATTTTGTCTGTTTTGCAAAGCAAATCTTATAACGGGAAATAACACTCAGTGTGATATGCTCAATATTTAGTTTGGTTATCTCCTTTTAATCAGCCCACGTAAAACTTAAGAATACACACCATTAGGTAATTTTAAACCATCTCCATGACGCCTCTCTATTTCCTAAATTTGCGTAAATTTTCTTTCACAAATTCCTATCAGGTCAGCATATTTATAGCAGTATATATCAATTGTCTTATAATAATTCGCATAAATAGCGAATCAATTCTCAATAAGGCCATATCGGTTTAAAGATTACACATTGAAAAACACTGCTTCTTTTTTATGGTCATTTCCTCTTTTGCCCATGATCTGAACTTTGTCGCATGTGCTTTGCGCCAATATTGATAAAATTGTTTAGATTGATATCCGAGCAGCTCTAGCAATTCTGATAACTCCCGTGTCATTAACAAAGTTTGATTGAAACAAAACAAGAGGAATCCAAATAAAGCATTATAATAAAGCCTTGATGTTTCTAGTTTTGCCATGCACTTTATAATACTTTATTACAAGAAGAGGATACAGTAAAAACAAGTCATTTTTCGTGGACGAGACTAAGTTGTGACGTTAACAATGTTATGTTCGTTCAAATCAAATGGCGTCCATTTGTAATATCTTTTATTTCATTAAATGGAATTTATTTCTTTCTTGCGCAGTTGTTCATATTGTAAAAGTTATATAAGTTCATAGAATTCTACTGCGTTTAAAGACAACTGTTATAATTGTTACCTGTTGCTCCATTTGCTCGTATGGTAATCGAAAACAGATAACGTCTCGTTCCCATTTTCAAACATCGGTCGGTCTTATAATGACAAAGTTGACTGATGAACATTAATGATCATACGTAAGAATATATGGATAATTCTGTTTCGTTTTATGTATATTTCTAAATGTAAAAAATGATTGCAATGCCTGTCTCGTGAGTATCATGAGTACAAATTTAACATAAACATAAACAATAGGACAATGTCAATTTTTATTATTACAGAGTGACATGAAATTCTTTTTTCTTGTTAACCTCTTTTTCGGCAAATGTTTGTTTGTATTCATCAATACGCTAATGATATTTACAATGTTTTGTGTCCATATAACATGGAAAAATATATGATGTGTTCACTCACATTGTAAGGGACGAAAGAGATGCTGTGTTACAGTAACTAAAAGACACTTTGTGTTCTTCATATATTATTTCTGACACGAGCGAGCACCGGAGTATTCATGAAAATATAGTACTGTAATATTACATGTGATATGATATTCAACGGAATAAAACGGAGTTAAATTTGAGCCTGGGAATGTTATTAGAATGTACAAGTACATTTGAAATATCTCTCGTTCATATCGTATTATTAATACAACTTGTTTAAGTATCGGAACATACATAATCTGAGTTGAGTTTAAATATCGAATGGAAATACACTTCCTCATGTGTATAAAGAAGTAATGAGAGAAATGTATTTCCCCTAGATGATCAAAAGATATGAGTTTATTGCAATGTTGACAAAGGGTATTTTTAATATTGAATTGTTTGCATATCATTAGTGTATATAGATAAAGGAAATTTATTGAGTGAAGGTACAATACTGAAGTTAATGAACAAGTTGTATAAAATTATATTATGCGACACTTTGGCTTGCAAAATGTCATTTTATGCAAGTTGTTCAATAAATTAAGTTACATTCTATTAATCACATATCCAAAATAGATCAGTAATGAGTAAATAATACTCATTTCCATGTACGACCTTGCAACACCAATTTTACGGAGTCTCAAAAGTCTAACGGGTATGTGATAAATCAAATATTCATTAAAATGAAAACCGATAATAACTCTATAGTTTTGGTATTTTGTTACCAAATGTTACTACATTTAAGACACATAACTTCAGCGCTGTTTTCTTCTGTTGATTAAACATTATTGATATAAGTTTGACCTTTCTAAAATATTTAAAAAAGATATTCTGATTTAAATGTTTAACTTGGAGTACATGTAAAAATATCCAATTAAGGTTTAGGAAATTTGTCGCAAATAATCGTTTGTTGCTTTGTGGCTAGAAAAACATCAAACGCATTAAATAAAACTAAACAAAGTGTTTACAAAGTATAATCCACGAGACTTATAGATATAATAGCATTTAGAGCATTGACCGACATAATTTTGACATTTCGGCATGCTCTAAATCGT